AATTTGGTGCAAAATGATTTTTACTATTTATATTGGCACCTCGCGCGCCGAGTATCATCACATCCATAGTAATGCGATGGTGTCAAAATGTGTTGCACATAAATCGATGCTCAGATTTTGCTGCAAAATTTAACGGGACAACAGTTTTTTTTTTTTTTACAAAAATTACAATGCAAACAAAGCATAATATGTCCCCTGAAAAATCGGTTTTTGTATTAGTTGTAGTAAACAAATCAGCTATATATCGCAGTGTTTCCCAATATTATGTTTGATACCTATAACCCAATATATCATATTAGATCCTTCGTCTGCAGCCATGCTGGTGACCCGTAAAAATGATTTTGCGATCCTAATGAGTTGAAAAACACTACGCTATACGCATGTATTACGTTACGTTTGTCCTCGTCCTACATAATATAACCATTATTATAGGCGTGTACATAACATTAAAATATGATGTATTTTCGGCGATTATAATGGATGGTATTAAAATATAGTATATTGTTATCAACAATAATGATATTATTGTTTCAGAGTACAAAGCCGGGTATTTACTTCGATTGTATRACAGTGCAGCGACAACATGGTCTATACCAGCGGTCGCCGACCGATGGTCCGCGTGAAAATTTAGGTGGTCCGYGGAAAAATTTGAACTTAACTTGCWATATATTATTTTATTAGCTAAAATTGCACGAAGTTCTTCAAAACAAACAGGAACAAATATCACATTAAAATTTAATTAAAACTTAAAACTTTCATCATAAATAWAACCTTTTTTATTATTTTACATATGTATTTTTTTAATAATATTTTGGTGCAAAATTTATCAGTAGTAGTACGGTATTTATGTAAAAAAACTATTTTAAGATATAGATGTTCCGTAGAATTTAGAATATGGAGTAGTCTGCAAGGTCCAAAAGGTTGGCGACCGCTGGTCTATAGAGTGTCAGACGTTTGCCTAACGATTTTTCAGTTTATTGCAGTGTTAATAAGTTACTGCGGTTACGGTGGTAGTTGGGATCGGTATATAAATTGCGTATTTTCTCTGTCGCGTGATATTTCAGTTATTGCAGTTGCATTTCYCTATATAGACATTGAGCGTCATATAATTATAWAGTACTCGTGACCGTAAACRGATAATGGATTTCTGCATAAAAGTGTTCGTCTRCGAGGGTGATGGAACTTTGGGCGGGTGGACAAACTATGAGGAGGCGGTGATCATTCAAAGTCCGAAATCATTAATCCAACAGCCAACAGGTAGGTAAGTGAGAATCGTAAGCTGTAGAGGTGATAGGATAGTATCCAACGGATTCGTCTAGGAATTTAGGACGTTGGCCTGTGGATGAAATTAGCCTGAGACGGTTTGGTATCTGCAAGTTGCGCTAATCGAGGGCTAAATATACTAAAATCTTATTTAATTTTTTTTTTTTTATAGAGACTCGATCGTAACTAAAATAAACATAGTAATATCCGTAGTTCGTGTGCAGTTGTGATTTTAAAATAATATGATCGCACACAGCTGCTGCAGGCAGATATTTATGCGTTTCGTTCTGTTATAAATAAATAGTAACACGTACGCGCAAATACTACGTTTCGCGTGTTTTATCTCCACATTCGACATAATATACAATCATTGATTAATGATATATATTATGTATAATATTATCGCGTCAGTTTTGATTGAAAATGACTACGTTAGCGTTTCTAATCGATCGAAACGCGCATAAAATGATTATAATAAATRATTAATAATAATTTWWAAAAAAACAATATTCAAATAGGTATACTCACTGCGTGTTTTGGCACAAAATCCAATTTCATGTTTGCACAACGGTTCAAGGCGTGCAGTCTCCTGAACAACGATTGTAACGAGTCTAGGTCTAGAAACGGATGGTCTTTTTGTACGCCGTTCACGTCTATGGGAAATTGCAAATCTATACGGGAAATAAAATAAAACGTCGTGAAAGTATTCGGAGTATTCGGATTTCCGTTGCGGCTGTATCATATCTAGGTACGTAATAATAATAAATAATAATAACAAAATATTCACCTTCATACATTTGCGCGTACTGTGGAAATCCGGCGGCTCTTAGCCATTTGCACGCTTCTTTGGCTTCTATTTCTGTAACAAAAACGACGAAACATTTTTTCAATAAATTGTTATCGAATATAGTACGATTCCGGTAAAACGATGATGATAAAATAATAATGATATCAAACAAAAAGCGTGTCGTATAAAACATTAATGTGTGTATAATCTCCGTTAAGATAGTCAAACTGATGACTCGCGGCGGCAAACGATCATCCGTTATGTTAATATTATGCTGTAGACTTTATATTTATCGCATTGATCATACATACCTATAATAATTATTGCTATCAAAAACCGAAAACGGCGCACTGGCGAAC